GTAGCTGTGCTGTGCTCCTGGTAGTAGCTGTGCTCTCGGTAGTAGCTGTGCTCCTGGTAGTAGCTGTGCTGTGCTCCTGGTAGTAGCTGTGCTCCTGGTAGTAGCTGTGCTGTGCTCCTGGTAGTAGCTGTGCTCCTGATAGTAGCTGTGCTGTGCTCCTGGTAGTAGCTGTGCTCTCAGTAGTAGCTGTGCTGTGCTCTCGGTAGTAGCTGTGCTCCTGGTAGTAGCTGTGCTGTGCTCCTGGTAGTAGCTGTGCTCTCGGTAGTAGCTGTGCTGTGCTCTCGGTAGTAGCTGTGCTCCTGGTAGTAGCTGTGCTGTGCTCCTGGTAGTAGCTGTGCTCTCGGTAGTAGCTGTGCTGTGCTCTCGGTAGTAGCTGTGCTCCTGGTAGTAGCTGTGCTCCTGGTAGTAGCTGTGCTGTGCTCCTGGTAGTAGCTGTGCTCCTGGTAGTAGCTGTGCTGTGCTCCTGGTAGTAGCTGTGCTCTCGGTAGTAGCTGTGCTGTGCTCTCGGTAGTAGCTGTGCTCCTGATAGTAGCTGTGCTGTGCTCCTGGTAGTAGCTGTGCTCCTGGTAGTAGCTGTGCTGTGCTCTCGGTAGTAGCTGTGCTCCTGGTAGTAGCTGTGCTGTGCTCCTGGTAGTAGCTGTGCTCCTGGTAGTAGCTGTGCTGTGCTCTCGGTAGTAGCTGTGCTCCTGGTAGTAGCTGTGCTGTGCTCCTGGTAGTAGCTGTGCTCCTGGTAGTAGCTGTGCTGTGCTCCTGGTAGTAGCTGTGCTCTCGGTAGTAGCTGTGCTCCTGGTAGTAGCTGTGCTGTGCTCCTGGTAGTAGCTGTGCTCCTGGTAGTAGCTGTGCTGTGCTCTCGGTAGTAGCTGTGCTTCTGGTAGTAGCTGTGCTCCTGGTAGTAGCTGTCCTGTGCTCTCAGTAGTAACTGCTACGTATTGAGGACTCCGAATACTGAGTATCTACAAAGATATTCCAGGAACTGGATTGCTATTTGAGAATGGAGGAAACTGAGAGGTCACATCACATTTTCTGGGTCACCCTGCTGGCAGTCCCCAGCGCCTGTGTCTGTGCCCAGGTCAGCCTGACAGCAAAGCCCGTGCTCTCAAGGCTGTGCCGGCCTCACGCTCCAAGCAGGGGCCCCTGTGGGCACAGGCACGGTTGTCATGTGCCTTTCCAGTTCACTTCTGTGTCTCTCAAGCTTTGGGGTCCACAGCGTCATCTTTGTTCCAGGCTTGTCCACGTTGAACAGTCATCATCCAGGTGGAGAAGGGGGTGGGTATGGCTCAGCGTTCAAGAACTTTCTCTAAGTCAAAGGGGTGCAGCAGTCGGAGAGGCTGCCTGGGGAGGCAGGGGGCACCCGCTGACATTGCTGGGCAATCACCTGAAGGACCTGTGGGAGGAGGAGAGTCATGCTTCAAAGTAGTGTGTGTGTGTGTGTATGTGTGTGTGCAGAGGGGCTCAGGGGGGCTGGTCCCAGCTCAGTGGGTGAGAGATGGTTCTAGAAGGTGAGCTCACAGAACTGGGGAGTTCCAGAAGGACCTGGGTCAGTGCAGTCTGCCCGCCCTCATCGTTCTCTTAACGCTGGGTGCCTGGGGACCCGCGGGCATCCCAGGCGGCGTCCTGAGCGGAGGGAGTGCTTCGGCATCGTCACCGCTGTCAGCTCGGTGGGAACGGCCCTGGTCAGTGAGCCCCTTCCCTGTCTCCCTGCTGCTGCTGACGAGGTCCTCGGGCGGGGCTGGCCGTGAGGGGCAGGGTCAGAGGTGGGGGCATCCCGGGCTGGCAGAGGATGAGTCCAGAGAGAGAAGGGAGCCTTGTGCCTCTAGACCCGCTGGGAAATGCTCAGGATAAAATTATTTTCAAGTCACTTTGCTATAAAAAAAATCAAAACCAGTCTCTGTGTAGCAGTGAACTTGGCTACTTCGTCTATAAATTGGGGATTACAACCCTGGCCCCCTTAGATGGCTGAGAGGATTAGGCGAGATTAAGTTGGAGAACATCCGGGAAAGGCTCGCACAGTGTCTGCCAGGTTTGGGGAACTCAGGCTAGCTGTGTTCTTCCCTTTCCTTCCCACATGCTGATGGGAAGGGCTCATACTTCCGTGGCCACGACTTCAGTGTGTTTCGGTTTCAGAAGCACCACTGAACAGCCATTCCACCCCAGCAACTCTGCTTGACCCTTAGGATAAACGACACATGAGACAGCCACTGTTCTTTGCAAGCTGGCCTTGTGGTGGGAAAGACGGACACATCGCAGTCTAGTGTGACAGAAGCACAGGGTGCTTTGGGGGTGCTGGGGAGCAGCGGCCTACCGGGAAAGTCTAGCCGGAGAACTCGTCTCTCGTCTCTGATGGGACCCTTGCAGCATGAGCAAGAGTTAGCCATGTAAAGGAAAGGAGAGACTGTTCTACACGGCTGGTCAGCGTGAGTTGACCAAGACGATGTTACCTGGAACCTCGAATGCAAGTGGGGGAGGGGTCCCCGGGGCAGCCCTGCGCATCATGTTTAGGAGCATTGATGAAGGGAGCTATCAAAGGGTGTCACGGGCTTTTTGTTTAAAAACGTATGCTGGTAAACATGCGTAGACCACTTCGGAAGAAGACTCGGGACTGGGTACGAGGAGACCACGGTCGCGCCACGACGCTGCTCTGAGCCAAGGGGAGGACGTGGTCTCGGAGGAAGAGTGGAATCGGCGGCGCTTCGGGGTTGTTTGGTTGGGGCGGGTGAAGGACGGGGTGATGGAGAGAAGGCGGGATGCAGGGCAGCCGTATTTCTAGTTTGGAAGAACATCCTGGGTCTAAAACCCAGAATATCTGCCACCAAGAAAGGGCAGACGTAAGGAAGAGCAGGTTTTAGCGGGACCAGGCCTCCTGTCTTAGACCTGCTCATGTTGCGACGACTGGGGTTCCCGAGCGGAGACATCCACGCGGCCACCGCACATATCACTGCCCCGGGGCAGACGCGGTGACCCGCAGGGCTGCCCGGGGGTGTCCTGGTGGAAGAGAAGAGGGCCGCAGGCACAAAGGCTTGAGAAGCACAGCAGCGTCAGACCTGGGCAGAAGGGGATTCCACAAAGCGAATGAGAACAATAGTCCGAGAGGAAGGAGAGACCCTGGGCAAAGGGAGCGCCGGGAGAGGCAGGAGTTTCGAGCAGGTCCACAGTGGGAAGCACTGCCGAGGGCTCCTATCCCCCCCCCCCCCCCCCCCCCCCGTGCGGACCAGGGTCCACGGCACCTCGCAGCAGCTTCCAGGCGCGCGGTGGCGGTGCAGCTCCGACACAAAGGGGAGGTGAGAAAAAGGGTCGTTTTCCCACTCGAAGTTTCGATACGAAGACAGGGAGAGAGACAGGTCTGTATGGATAACGACAAGAATCAAGGGAAGGTATTTTACCGGCTGGGGACCTCAGCACGTCTACGCACGCGGACAGAGAGGCGCTGGTAGAGGGAGAAGCTGACGGTGCTGAGGGAGGTCGTGACCCAGTGGAACAAGGCTTAGCTATGGGAAAGGGTGGCATCTAGACCTCGGGAAGGGCGGGTCTTGGTAGATGTAGAGGCACCTCCTGCTCACACCACAGGGGTGTATGAGGGCACATGAGCCCGTTGACGCATTTGTAAGTGGGATGGGGCGAGGGCAGAAAGGAAGGACGTGTGGTGGGTGAGCACCTTGCTCTCACTGAAGCAGAAGGTAAGGTCTTTTGGCAGATGGTGCAGGGAGGGCAGCCGAGGACAGCAGTGAGGGTCTTGAATACCCTCTGAGGGGAACGAGAGAGAGAAAGCTGACCAAGGCAAGCGAGCGGGTGCTGGAAGTGTTTCATAAGAGAAACAACAAGCAACCCACTTTCTCATTCATTCTCTCAACACTCTCATGAGGCAGATGTTGTTCGTGTCCTCATTGCATGGATGAAGAAATGAGGCGTGGGGAGTGTCTGAAGGCAGAGATGTCGTAAACCGCAGAGGGGGGCTTCAAACCCAAGTCTTACCTCAAAGCCACGGCCACGGCCAGCCTTGCCGTCCTCAGGGACTAGCAGCCCTAGCGGAGGTGGAGGCCACGCTTCGCAGGGACGGCCACCTTGAGGCTGTGCCACTGTTTTGCTTTTTGACCCTATGAAGGTGGACGGAAAGTGTGCTGGGGGAGAGGTCATGAGAGACGTGGCAAGGTTTGTCCGAGGCGTGGTCGGGGAGAGGAAGAGACAAAAAGTCGCAGAGTTGGGGGAAGGTGGGGTGATGACGAAGCAGGGGTGACCTTGGGGAGCCCTCTCCTGGATCTCGGGGTGTGGCCATGGGAGTGGGTGGCTGAGCAGAGTGGAGGGGGAGGTCATAGCTAGATGTGAGTGTCCTACACGACATGGGGACTGGCCTCCAGAACCCACCAGCCGTGAGGGGCTTGGAGGGCAAACCAAATGGGCTGAGTGTCAAGGCGGGAAGAGCGTCGGCAAAGTGATGGTTTGGAAGAGGCCGTGGGCGTGCAGTTTCAGGATGGCCGTGGGGACCTGTGTGTGGGGGAAGGACAGTCCCCACCCAGCAGGCAGCAGGTGTTCTTGCTGCCGTTCAGGCCGGGAGAGGGAGGCTTCGTGCTGGAAGAGACTTTCCTTGGCCATTGGGCTCAGTGACTGCTTTACACCAATGGCACTGCCCGCTCGTGCCCTCGGGAACACCCCTCACGGCCATACCCCAGGAGGACTTGGGTCCACACCAACTTTGGTCTCCACCCAAACGTCGCTCCTTCCTAGTTGTGAAATCTTAGGCCTCAGGACTCAGTGATGCCTGGTGTGGAGTATAGAGCTCAAAATATGTTCATTTGCTCCCCCATGTCCCCTCCTCTCAGCTTCTGGGACTGGGTGGTGCCAAGCAGGATTGGGAGGGAGAGGCGCTGGCCTCGGGAGTCCTCCCCTGGATCTCGGGGTGCGGCTGAGGCTTCATCAGAGCCTCCTCCCACTCCCCAGGTGCACTCAGGCCTGTTTCTCTCCCTCTTCCAAGGGTTCGCCTTCCGGAGGGGCCACCAGGGCTGCTGAGCTGCCTGCCATCTCTAAGCCCAGCTCTGAGTGGTGGGGCTCCACCTCTGCACCCTGCATGGAAGCCAGGAGCGGGGCTCCCAGAAGGCAGCTGTGCCCAGCTGGGGTGATGCTGCTGGCCTTGGCCTCTCTGCTGAGCTGCTGGCTGCCGTCCGGCCAAGCCAAGGTCTACAGTCGCTGCGAGCTGTTCAGAGTGCTTCAGGATTTCGGCCTGGAGGGATACCGGGGTTACAGCTTGGCTGACTGTGAGGACCCCTCTTTCTGGCTGGCCCTGCCCCCCCACCTCTTTCTCCCTCCTCCTCCTCCTCACTCAAGGGTGTGGCCTCAGGAGATTTCTAATCCTCGTTCTCATTTGTAAAACGAGAATTATATGCCACCACAGGTAGAGAACGCCCAGCGATGAGTTAAATATACCGTAGGCTGGCGATGGGCAGCCAAATCAGAATCCCCCCATTATTGCTGCCACTGCCGAAGTCAACAGAATAGTTTGGTACCCTAATCTTAACCTTGGCAGGGGGATCAGACATCCCCCCTGAAGTTCAGGGCAAGCTGAGTAAAGCAGTAATACCAAACCCTTCCAGCTGGTGGCGGTTTTGGGGGGCTGGACTTGCTTCTCTCCAGTTCCAGCCCTGCTTCGAGTCCCACCTGCATCTTCCTAGTCTTGCCCCTAAGGATTTGGTTCTCATTCGTTCATCCCACAAACCCTTCTTGGGCTTCCCTGTGGGCAGGGCAGTGAGGCCACAGGAAGGTGGCTGGCCTGGGGGCGGGAGGTCCGAGGTCCAGTCTTGACGCTTGTGACCTTGAGTGAGTCACTTTGCCCCTCTGAGCCTCCGTGGCTTCGTTTGTCAAAGAGGAGGGAGGGCCTCTGCCCCGATCATCTCCAAGCAGGAGCTGGGGCTCCAAGGTGCTGGGTTGGCCTTGACCACGTGACCCATTGGTCTCTCTCCACCCTGCCCAGGGCTCTGTCTTGCTTATTTCACAAGTGGCTTCGACTCAGCTGCTGTGGACCATGAAGCTGATGGGAGCACCAACAATGGCATCTTCCAGATCAACAGCCGGAAGTGGTGCAAAACTCTCCAGGAAAACACCGCCAACCAGTGCGGGACATACTGCACTGGTAGGCGGGCCCGAGCCTGGGGGCTGCCCCCGGCCGCACCCCTAGGCTTGTTTCCGGTTCTGTTTGCTCCTCTATCTTTCATCTCTGAGTGGGGATCCCCTTACATCCTGCTGGCCCTACCAAGGAGAGTGTGATGGGGCGAGTGAGGAGGGCCATCCTTCATGAATCTGATTTGGGGTCCCCTGTGGGAGACTGTCCTGAGGGCTAGGGGAATGGAGTAGGGATTGCTTCTCATAAGAGACAAAAGTGACAGAGAGATACCTGTGTTTCCAGAGGGGTCCAGAGACAGGGGTCGGCTGGGCTCAGGATGGAAGAGTGTGTGTGTGTGTGTGTGTGTGAGAGAGAGAGACAGACAGACAGACAGACACGTTCTTCATGTATGTCCAGCTCTGCCTCCTGCTCCCTCCTCATGCTTCTCTGCCTCCCACCCAGACTTACTGAATCCTAACCTCAAGAGTGCTGTTCTCTGTGCCATGAAGATAAGTCAACAGCCCCAGGGTCTGCGCAGCTGGTGAGTAACTTGGGCTGGAGCCCCCAAGGAGGTGTGGACGGCAGCAGGGAACCAGCCTTTTCAGAGTGCCCCCAGGCACCATTCCATAGCTTCACAGTTTAACCCGCACAGCTTTCGGGGGTCGGGATTACGATCACTGAAGTTTTTATAGACAACACACTGAGCTTCAGGGAGGGAAGGCCATTCACCGGAGGCCATGGCCAAGCCTGGCTCTTCCGAGCTTTGCCTGTGTTGAGATGCCTGCCCCCAGGTACACTCGATCTGGGTCCAGTAAACCTCTTTAAAAAAAAAAATTTTTTTTTCTTTACTGATTTTAGAGAGAGGAAGTGAGAGGGAGAGAGAGATAGAAACATCGATGAGAGAGAACATGGATTGGCTGCCTCCTGCGTGTCCCCCACATGTGGGGGATTTGGCCCACAACCTGGGCATGTGTCCTGACCCGGAATCGAACTGGTGACCTCTTGGTGCATGGGTTGATGCTCAACCACTGAGCCACACCAGCTGGGCTAGTAAACCTCTTTTGTTTTTCAACCATGGCATCTTTGTCTAAACTAACTTTTACTTAAAGGCCTGCAGTGTCCAACAGAGGAATAGATTCCCCGGAGCCTCACCTTGTCAGCCTGCTCACAAGATGGGAAGCCCTCCGCACAGGCAGGGGAGTTGGATGGGCATCGATGGGGCATTTTGGTTCACACAGGGTCCTCTGAGGCGGTGGCCCAACAGCTTCCCAGACTCTTCTGATGGGAGTTTCACTTAGTGTCCAACTTCCCTTGACTCACATTTCTGGATGAGAGACCGGCAAGGGGCAGAGTGTGGGGAAGGTAAAACACTCCAGATGGCCAGTGCAACCAGAACCTCGGGCCGATGTGATAGTGACAAGGCCGGTCTAGTGACTGGAAGGCACCAAATGTCTAGGGCAGCGGTTCTCAACCTGTGGGTTGCGACCCCTTTGAGGGTCAAATGACCCTTTCACAGGGGTCGCTTAAGACCGTTGGAAAACACATATATTTCCGATGGCGATTTGTAACAGTAGCAAAATTACAGTTATGAAGTAGCAACAAAAATAATTTTGTGGTTGGGGGTCACCACAACATGAGGAACTGTATTAAGAGGTTGCAGCATTAGGAAGGTTGAGAACCACTGGTCTAGGGAGAGACTAGAGGCGGGGGGACCAGTGGAGGAGACTTTGCAGGCGTCTGGGTGAGAGGTAGGGTCTGCACTAGGACATGCGCACGGGAGGTGGCCTGGGGCAGGGCTGGGTGTGCGGGGCTGTGAACGAGAGCTAGGGGCAGGTGACATGTGGTCAGTGAGGGAGAGGAGGAGGTGAACATGACTGTGAAGAAAGACAGGCCTGAGATGGGCACCGATGGCCCAGCATTGCAGACCTGTTGGGCTGAGAACAGGGCAGCCCTAGGAACCGGATCTGGAGTGAGGCGGGCCCAGAGGACATAATGCACGTGTACAGTCAGGAAGCGTGAGTGCCCGCTCAGGCCGGAGTCCAAGGTCTCGAGGCCTTGGGGTGCCACCCCAGGACAGAAGGAACAGGTCGCTTTGGGTTAAACCAAAGGACAACTCTCTTTTGTACAGCAGGAGGAAGCTCATGGCAGTATAACCCCACAGAGGTGGCCGAGACTAATAGGAAGTGGCCCCAGAAGGTGGACCATGTGCGCTCATTGAGAACTGCTCTGTGCTGGGTGCTGGGCTTAGAGCTGGCTGAGACCCGAGTCCTCGCCCTCAAGGGGCTCACGGTCTACTGGAAGAGACCGAGAAGCCAGTAGACCGCTCTTGTTTGATAGGGCAACAGGGGTCTATTAGGGACGCTCCTGGTCATCGGGCTCTTTGACATTGACATCATGAAGGATACTAGTTATCAAAGTTTGGAACCCTTAAGAACTTGGGACCACGGGACCCCAGCACCCCAGGATCTTGCTTATTTTCTTCAAAATGCCAGTATGACGCTGGAACAACGCAAGGATTCTGAGTCTACAAACTATACTTACCAACAACGGGAAGACCCAGGAAAACTGGGCGTGCGTGCAGTTCTCGTATTTACTAGCTGTGGACCTTGGGCAAGTAATTTTGCATCTCGGTCTCAGTTCTTCACTTGGAATACAGGAAACATGGTATCTGCCTGATCTGCCATGTAAGGCCACGTGGGGGACAGATTCAGGGGGACGCCTGCACAGTGCATGTAAACTATGACGGGCTGGACACACGGAGGGGGCATCACTGTCTGTAGGAGCAGCATGATGTGTGGAAAGAGCACTGGACTGGCCTGCAGGACTCCAGGCCTCTGTCACTGAGTGAACTTGAGCAAAGTGCTCTGTAATCCATTGGGAAAATAAGGGGACCATAGAGATGACTATTTTTAAGGGCCATTCTGTTTCTTTTTTTTCCCCCCTTTATTGATTTTAGAGAAAGAGGAAGTGAGAGGGAGAGAGAAATAGAAACATCGATGAGGGAGAACATTGATTGGCTGCCTCCAGCATGCCCCCCACTGGGGATTGGGCCCACAACCTGGGCATGTGTCCTGACCGGGAATCGAACCGGTGACCTCTTGGTGCCTGGGTCAATGCTCAACCACTGAGCCACACCGGCTAGACCATTTTGTTTGTTTGTTTCTTTTTTTTTTTTTTTTTACTTCTTCTGTGGGGTTCTTTGCTAGTTAACAGAGTTTACTTCTCTTTTCCTTGCTAACCCCTCCCCCTACCTGATTTCCGGTTCAGAGCCCACGCTCCTTCCTGTTCTTCTCTGAGCAGGGACGCAGGCTGCAGCTGATTGGGTCTCTCCGCTGCCCACTTTCCATCCTCAGGGACGCCTGGAAGCGTCACTGCATGGGAAAGGACCTCAGCGACTGGGTGGATGGCTGTGACGTGTAGGATCCTCTCTGGATGGACCAGCCCGTGCACGGCAGGCTGGGAGATGTGGTTTGGGTCCTGCCCGAGGAAGGCACACAAGTCAACTAATAAAGAGTAGTTTACATTAAGTGTGTTTCTCAGCTCTCGCTGTGAGTTCAGGCGGCATGTTGGAGCCAGAGCATCTCAGGGATACTTCACCTGTCCACCTGGGCTGGGCTTCAGGTAGGCTCCAAAAAGCCTACCGCGGAGGGGTAGCCCTCATTCCTGGGAGGCCTGGGGGCAGGGCTCAGTGCCTCCCTTGACCATCCCTGCAAGGAAGGGTTCCCTAGACCCTTTACCTGAATCTAGGTTTGCCAGATTTATCAAAACAAGCAAGCAAACAACAACAAAAAAACCCCAAACCAAAACAACAACAAAAAACCAATGATAACAACAAAAAAGGATGCAATGGCCTTGTGAGGGTACCCCTTTCCATCTACCCCCGCCTCACTGTGAGCTTTTTGCCTTGTTCCTCCCTGGCATCCTGGCCCCAGTGGCTTTTCTCATTTTCAGGTTCAAGGCCAAGTTCCTCGGCTTGGTACCCAAGTTCTTTCATGACCCAGGGTCATGCGGATTCATTTATCAACTGTCCAGAAACGTTTGCTCTAGCTGGTTTGTATCCCTGCATTTGGTTCCCTGGGTGTAGCATGTTGCTTCATACCCCCCTTCTCCCCCTCTCCGCACTTCAGCTGCTAGACACTCTCCTTCCATGCAGCAAGCGTGCCTTCAGCAGGAAATGCATGCAGAATGTCCTCTGGCCGCCGCTGAGCCCCTAGACATGCACCCCTGTCGACAGCTCATTCCTTTCTGTCTCCCTGGAGTGCCATCCTCAGATCTCTCTGCGGCAATTCCTTCTTGTTCAGGCAGGTCTTGTCTCAATTTTACCTCCTCACAGCGACTTTTCTGATCACTCCAAATTCTCTTCTGCCTTCAAGCCTTTGCTTAGGAATCTCTTCTGCAAACCTGCCGGCCGGACACCTTCCATTCATCTCTCAAGGCTTCAGCTCCAACCTGCCCGACTCAGCCCAGCAAGCAGACCCTTCCCCAGTGAGCGTGCTCTGCCCTGTGCACCCCACTGCAGCTCTTGCCGCTCACGTTCTTGGTGTACGTGTCTCTTGCCCACCTCTGCCTGACTAGACTCCGAGCTCCCCTGAGATTGTGCCTGATACGTAAACCCGCAGGGCCGAGCACAGTGCCCGCCGCATAGTGGGCATGTGGAAAATGCTCGTGGAGTGAGGGAGTCGGCCAGAGACCCCCGCCTGGCACTGGGAAGTCTTCATCTAGCAGCTTCTTGACCTGCCTCCCTCTCAAGTGGGTTCAGCTGGGTATTCTTTGGTGCCCACCAATCCCTTTGTGTTTGGCTTCTTGAACTTGGATGTCTAAAGTACACTGAAGACAAATGGCCCAGAATGGTGAGGAGTTCGCCAATGAGCCACCTCCTTCCGAGACCTGGTGTGAAGACCAGTTTCGAGGAGGCTGTTCGCTGAGAAAGGAATGAGATGTCGACAGGGGCATGTGCCTGGGGGCTCAGCGGCACCAGAGAACATTTTGCATGCATTTCTTGCGTGCCGTGGCTCAGCAGTCTCGTTCCCTAGGAGTCAGGCCGGAGGGATGTTTTGCAGAGCGAGTCCGCGTTGCTGTGTATGCCTGCAGGTCTCCTCAGCCCTCCAGATCGCCGCCTGCGTCCGATAACGTTACGGAATCCCAGCTCCACGGTTCTCTGTTCACATCCATTTCCCGCTCATTCATTCATTTCGCCATCTGTGAGAGCTCACTCTGAGGCTGCAGCAGGTGCCAAAGGTTTAAAAGAGCGATGGGAGAGAAATCTTGAAATTGAAATTGATGAAATCCTGCCTGCTGTATTCCCCACCCCAACAGAAAAATGGCAGTCATTATGGCGTTTTAGGAGAAGTGTTGGTTGCTCCTTGGGGTACTGTGGCGTTCTCCCAGAGGACAGGTTAACGCTTTCAGCACCAGGTGTCTTTGCCGAGTATCCACGCGCCCTTTGGGGATCACAGACAGGCTCTGGAGCTCCATACCCCTCCTCAAACGGTGTGCACATTTTATGCCTACGTGACCGTGTGCATTTTTTTAAATTTTTTTTTTTCTGGAGAGAGTTTATAGCTTTTGCTTTATTTATTTATTTTTTAATCCTCACCCGAGGACATTTTTCCATTTTTTGTTCAGATAGAGTGGGAGGGAGAGGAAGAGAGAAAGAAACATCGATGTGAGAGAGACACACTGAGTGGCTGTCACTCACACGACCAACCAGGGCCGGGGACAAACCGCAACCGAGGTACGTACCCTTAGTGGGAACCGAACCCGGGTCTCTCTGGACCGCAGGCCGACGCAGCCAAACTGGCCAGGGCGCTTTTGCTTTATTTTTAAGCCACACAAGCGATCCAAGGACGATCAAGTCGTTTTATAGGAAGAAAAAGAGAAAATCAGAAAAGATAGAAAGTATATACCTTCGCTCATTTGCTCTCATAAGAACCCTGGAAGCTAGGCATCCTCATCTCCCTCATACAGGTGGGAAACAGAGGTCCCAAGCAGTTAATTAAACATGTGCTCACATACCTGACACCATTCTCAACTTAGACTCACAGACGGGTGGAGTCGGGAGCACGAGAGATTTGCTGTCCGTGTTCCACCCCCTCTCCTTTTATAGAAGAGGACATTTAGGCCCAGAAAAATGGAGTACATTGTCCAAAGGTATATGCTCAGTTTACAACCGAAATGGGCTAGAAATACAGGTTTTGGCTCCCCGTCCGAAGCCTTGGCCAACCGGTTGCTCCTACGGAGCCTGGGGCACAGATCTCACGGAAGGCTACGTTAGTAAGAGGCCCTCATCTTCTCACCCGTCCTCCGCCCGGGGGGTTTCCACTGACCTGTGCTACGGTCCCCAAGGACCGCCTGGCCCCAGACATGCTCAACCCACTAGCCTCAGGGAAACACACGTGTGCACAAAGTGACCCCATGTGCCGGGAGACTCAAAGGAACGGGGAGGAAGCCGTTAGCTAAATGAGTCAACCTTGCTTGAGACATGTCTTCCTAAACACTTGGAGCTCAGGAGGAGGAGCTTGGAGGGCTTTAGCCAAGACGTACCCCCCTCAGCGTGCTGAACCGGCCCTTCATCCTCTGGCGCCTGCCTATTCTCAGTGGTTGTTTTGGACACTCCCTCTTGACCTCCGTGACCCCCCCCCAGCTTTGCATTTGCTGCTCGCTCACTCTCCTTCCACTGAAAACCCCCGATTCATCTTTCCTCGCGGTTGACTTGTCAGTGTTCCCTGCTCACGTGCTCGGTTCCCCGAGGGCGGTGCCTGGCACGTGATGGCAGGTGATCAGTAGGAGTGGAACGAAGGGCGAATCTGTGTCTTTCACCCGCTTCCCCTTCGGTTATGGCCCTGCTGCCTCCCCTGCTGTGCCGGGAAGCTTGTCTGTGCGGCTGGGGGTCTGCTGACTCCGTGTGGGTCTGGGCTGGGACACCCCTCCCAGCCCCTGGAAGCACATGCCTTGGCGTCTCGAGCCTCCCTGGTTCTCTGTAACGGGGAGCACGTCCCTGGCACTCGCTGGAGGCCCTCGCCTCTGCTCGATGTTTGCTTCTCATGCTGGAACAGAAATTTCTGAGCTTGTGGAGGAGAGCTCCCAGGTCTCTCCTCCGGCTTCTCAGGCTTGGCTGAGCTTTACTTGGGGCAGCGCTACCCCCCGAGCCACACCTGTGGGCAGGGCCTGCCTCTGACCTTTCCAGCTCACCACGCACCTTTCCCCAGGCACCTCTGCGGACCCACCCACTCAGCATGTCCGCGGCTAAGACCCTGGTAGCAGTGTTAGAGCGTTGAGCCAAGGTCATGGGTTGGGTCTCCAGTCAGGGCACAGACAAGAATCAACCAATGAATACATAAATAAGTGCAACGACAAATCGATGTCTCTCTCCCTCCCTCTCTTTCCAAATTCAATCAATCAGTTTTTAAAAACAGCTGCACCTGGGAAGGGGAAATGGCGGCACTCTGGCCTCTCTCTGCCAAGACAACCAAGCAACAGCCTGGGAGCAGCGGGCCCCGCCCTGCTCAGGCCTTTCTGTCTCCGGTAGGCAGCAGGCTCCCCCGGGTCTGTTTCCCAGGTCAGGTGCCCTTGTTTTACTGATTGGCTGATTGACGGATTGACCTCACCCTTTGTGCAGGGATCATCCAACCTTGTGGCTTGGGCTCATGATAGGTCCAGACTCCTGGCCTTTGTGACATCATCGGGGTCCCTCTCAAAATGCGACATATCCCCAGGTCCCCTCTGTCTACCAAACCTCTCAGGTTTTCACTGAGGCAGTAATTACACACATGCTTCTCTGTTTGAAACGATGAGCATAAGAAACATCCACCACTCCCAGAAGTTCAGGCAGACGGCGATGTCTTCAGTTAACAAACCACTCAACAATTGTCGGTACTTGGCTATTGGTTTGCTCTTTTGAATTTCCTGCCGTCTTGTTTCTTTAAATAGGTTAAGTTTGTAGACCTGCTCCAAGGTGAACACAGCCAGAATCCCCAAATTGGAAGGAGCTGGGAGCTATGCAAACCATTAGAATAGTCTTTGCTCCGTCTCGCATTGATCTGAAGTTGTGTGTGTGTGTTTCTTGAAAAGGAAGCCGGAAATCCAATGGAGCATTTGAATTGCAACTTCATCTATAGATTTTTAAAAAATTTATGAAACTGTTAAACTGGGACAAGGCAGATCATCTGATAGTTTCCAAACTCACCGAATAGACACCTTTTTGGCTCCTATCCCTGATGGGAGCGTCTGAGGACACTCCCTGCTCTTCTGAGTCTGAATGTCTGGGCACCAGAAGGACACTCGCCCACCAGAGGCAGTGAGTCTGTCTCAGCAGAGGGATTTCCACGCCCTGGCAAAGTCCGGAGAAGTGGTTGCTCTCAGTCCTTCTTGCTTTGGGCGGGTTTACAAATGGGACCAAGAGCTTGAGAGAGTGGGGGTACCTATGAGAGAGTGGGGGTACCTTTGAGAGCGTGGGGGTACCTTTGAGGGCGTGGGGGTAGCTTTGAGGGCTGGGGGGATACCTTTGAGAGCGTGGGGGTAGCTTTGAGAGCGTGGGGGTACCTTTGAGAGCATGGGGGGGTACCTTTGAGAGCGTGGGGGTACCTTTGAGAGCATGGGGGGGTACCTTTGAGAGCGTGGGGGTACCTTTGAGAGCATGGGGGGGTACCTTTGAGAGCGTGGGGGTACCTTTGAGAGCATGGGGGGGTACCTTTGAGAGCGTGGGGGTACCTTTGAGAGCGTGGGGGTACCTATGAGAGAGTGGGGGATACCTTTGAGAGCATGGGGGGTTCCTTTGAGGGCGTGGAGTTACCTTTGAGGGTGTGGGGGTACCTTTGAGAGCATGGGGGTACCTTTGAGGGCGTGGGGGTAGCTTTGAGGGTGTGGGGGTACCTTTGAGAGCGTGGGGGTAGCTTTGAGAGTGTGGGGGTACCTTTGAGGGCGTGTGGGTAGCTTTGAGGGCGTGGGGGTACCTTTGAGAGTGTGGGGGTAGCTTTGAGGGCGCGGAGGGATACCTTTGAGGGCGTGGGGGTACCTTTGAGAGCATGGGCATAACTTTGAGAGCATGGGGGGATACCTTTGAGAGCGTGGGGGTACCTTTGACAGTGTGGGGGTACCTTTGAGGGCGTGGGGGTACCTTTGAGAGCATGGGGGTACTTTTGAGAGCGTGGGGGTAACCTTTGAGGGCGTGGGGGTACCTTTGAGGGCATGGGGGGTACCTTTGAGGGCGTGGAGGTACCTTTGAGAGCGTGGGGGTAAACTTTGAGGGCGTGGGGGTACCTTTGAGAGCGTGGGAGTACCTTTGAGAGCATGGGGGGTACCTTTGAGAGTGTGGGGGTACTTTTGAGGGCGTGGGGGTACCTTTGAGGGCATGGGGGTACCTTTGAGAGCATGGGGGGGTACCTTTGAGGGCGTGGGGGTAACCTTTGAGAGCATGGGGGGGTACCTTTGAGGGCGTGGGGGTACCTTTGAGAGCATGGGCGTAACTTTGAGAGCATGGGGGTACCTTTGAGAGCGTGTGGGGTACCTTTGGCACTGCCACTGACCTACTGGGTGGCCCGACGCAACCTTCTCTCCCCTTTCGGGGGTGCTCATTTGGAAAATGATGACCATAGGCTCTAGGCTCCAACGAGCCTTGTAGTAGGATGATAATGGCCCCCCAAAATGTTCACACCCTAAGCCTGGAACCTGTGAATATGTTACTTCACATAGTAAACTAGACTTTGAAGATGTGATTAAGGAAATAACTTTGAGATGGGGGGTTATCTTGGATTATTCGGTGGGCCAAGCGAATCACAAGGTCCTCACGAAATGGGAGGGACGGGGGTCTGGGTTAGAGCGCGCTATGACTGCGGGACGTCGTCGTCCTCAGGTGAGGGGAGAAGGACTCGCCTGTCCTTGTTTTGAACAAAGAGGAAGAGGCCGTGAGCGAGGAGCATGGATGGCCTCTGCGACCTGGAGGAGGTGAGGGAAGGTTTCTCCCTTAGACTTCCAGAAGGGCCCCAGCCTCCTGACTTCTAGACTTCGGCCCAGGAAGCCGGAGTCAGATTTCTGACCTCCAGACTGTGAGATTTATATACAGACAGTCGCCCCTCGCCACTTCGCGCTGCGACTTTCGCGGCTTCACTCTATTGCGTTTTTTTCAAATATATTCATTAAAAAGTTGATCGAGAAACTGAAAATGATACAGCACATGCTCGGTTGTCTGAGTCAATTATACACCCCTGTATTACAATTACAATTACTGCACGTATGGACTGTAGGCCTGTGTATTCGAGCTCCCCAGGAATCCTGCAACGCCAGGCGCAACCGCTAGAGTCTGGAACGGATTAACCGTGATAAATGAGGGATGACTGTATATATATATATATAGTTTTAAGCCCTTACATTTGTCATAATTTGTTATGGAGGCAATAGAAAACTAAAACGGCCCCATCCTGCAATCTGACGGTATTTTTAAGAATTCACACCCAACTTTGCCGACAGCCTTGGGCAACCTCATCTGAGAGGAGGCGTCACAGGGACCCTGTCCCAGATCCTCCCGACGCCCGGTGGTACTGCCGGCTCCCAGCCACCGCTTTTGTGGAGTGCGGCTGGTCTGGTGTGTGCCCCGGGCGGTGCAGGAGAGCTGTCGGAGGGTCCCGCGTGTGCAAGGACGTCCGGAGGTCATCTGTGAAGATACAGGTCAGGTTTCTCATCATCCTCAAATGGAAGGATCTGAGCCCAGAGGGGTGCAGGCCTCATCCGCCGTCAGACAGCTCCTGAGAGAAGAAGGCTTGGGGCTGGGCTCCTAACTCCTGACGCAGGGCTTTCTCAGTTGGTCACGTTGGGGAAAATACCTTCCCCTTTTGGTAGTGGGTGGGCATGGGGAGGGGGTGGAGAGAGAGAATGAGCTTGGAGGCCAGAGCAGGGACGAGCGCCCGGACCTCTGGCCTTTCTTCCCAGCACTGGGGGAGACTTTGAGTTGGAGGTGGCAGGGGTGGGGGAGAACTGTCCCCACAGAATAAGCATGTGGCTTGAGGACAAGATTCTGCCGAACAGGAAGTTCTCTTTTGCCCCCTTCCTGCCAAAGTCACCTCCCCATCTCCTTTCCCATCTGGAAGGACCTCTCAGGTGTTTCGAGGAGCAAGACAGAATGCAAATGTGACCTCCACAGGGACAAGCAGGTCTGTGTGATGAGCGCACCAGTGAGGTGCAGAGGGGGTCCTGGAGCTGGGTGTGCGGGAGGGAGGCCACGCTGGGCCTGTGTCCAGCCTGAGTCCACGGACGGGGTCGGGGGGATCAGGACAGAAGGTCAAGGGCAGAGGGGCCTGAAGGCCTCCTTGGCGGCTTTCAGGTCTGGCCAGGCTCTCTGCCTCCCTCTCCACGCCAGTCCAGGGCAGTGCCCTCCAGACCCTGGGCTGCAACCTGTCAGGGGGTCATGAAGTCATTTACAGGGTTCCGATCGGTTGTTTTTAAAGGTTTAGAATAGAATAAAGCATGTACACATTTTGTAAAGTTAAGTGTCGTGGCACAAAACTTTGCGCCATCTGTGGTTTTGACCTGGGAGGTGTGGCCCTTTCCTAAGCCCCCGAGGAGACAGCTGGGGGTGGCGGAAAGGCAGAGAGCTGAGCCCCGTCCACAAGACCAGCTTTTAATAGGACTGTGACCGGAAGCACAAATAAATAAACGCCAGAGAAAATGGGAAAACCAAACCAAACCTCAGAACAGCAGACCCCAAAATCAGGAAACAAAACGAAACAGACCTCGGACAGACAGTAAAAGCCTCCCCCCCGAAGACAGAGACTCAGACTGTACAAGCCACGCCACAGGGAGGGCCGGGCGACTGGGCAGCGTGGACGCCTGTGGGGTCCCAGGCCACCGCGCCTCCATCACAGGCGCCGGGGTGCGAGGGGGTCGGCCCCAGTCACCCGTGGGCCAGCTCGGGGGGAGGAGCGGAAAGGGGTTTGTGGGCAGGTTAGGAGCCTTGACGAACTACACAAGGACCAGACGTGGCCGACAGGTCTGCGGTTTCCTCGTGATTGTGCAGCCGTGACCCCAGGGCGGCCTCGCGGTGACGCGGGCGGGAGCCGGGCCCCACTGCGTGGAAACCACACGTAGCGTGTCGTACAGAGGGACGCGGAGGCGGCGCCGTGAGAAGTCTGAGCATGCAGTGTACATCTGGCAGTGAGATGTGACGGCAGGTGGCTCTCGGACAGCTCCCGAGTGGGACCTGCTTCTCCGGAGAAGGACGCACAGCGGGGCCGAGGACGCGTCGCATCCCACGTGGCCGTGGCGAGGTTTTGGCAGATAGTTCGCTATGTGTGCATAGGGGCTCTTGCTTCTTTCGGTCGTCAGGGGCCATCCTGCCTGAGCCTGCTGTCCCCCATCCTGGGTCCTGGGCCTCACGGTCGGCTGGGGGCGCCGGGCGTTCCGAGGGCTGTCAGCAGGCGATCTCCTCCAGGGTCCCCAGGGCCGTCTGCAGGGGCACGTTCACAGTGTGGCTGATGGTTTCAGAGTGGTTTGGCATCGTCTCACAAGTGCTCTGGGGGAAGGGAAGGTGGGTGTTTATATTTATTCCAAAGTCCACCCGGTGCCCCTGGCGGCCTGGGGACCGTGCTCCTCACTCCTGGGCTTCCCCGGGGCCCTGCTGCTCCTGCCTCAGACCCCTTACCCCCCAGTTTGCCGTCTGCGCGCGAGGCTGAAGGGGCCTCGCTGCTGTCAGGATCCACACCACTGTCCGCCGGGTGCCCCCGGGCGGGTGAGGGCTCTCTGAGATGGGGTTTGGCCTTCTCTCCCAGAGGTCCCCTGGTGCACCACCTAGTCTCCAGCTGAGTGACGTCTGGCTTTGGGCTGGGTAGCTCATCCTGCCCTGGCCTCGGGGCCTCCTTCGGGGCCCACCCTGGGGAGGACCAGGACAGGGCGTGCGTCACGGAAGCATGCAGCCGGAACCAGAGCTGGTCACAGATGCCCAGAGGACCTTCAGGGTTAGCATGGCCACAGGGAAAAGGCATCCTGGGTCCCTGAGCAGGGTGTGGCTGAGAGGGCCGTGAATCTTTTTTTTTTTTTATCCTCACCCAAGGACACTTTTGCATTCATCTTCCCACAGAGTGGGAGGGAGAGAGGGAGGAAGAGAGAGAGAGAAACATTGACGTGAGAGAGACACCCACACAACCCCAACTGGGGCCGGGACAAACTGCAACCGAGGTACGTGGCCTTAGCGGGAACCGAACCCAGGACTCTGGTCCATGAGCCGACACTCTAACCACTGAGCCAAACCAGCCAGGGAGGGGCTGTGAATCTTTAAGGAGATTCCCAGGCTGCCCTGGGTTGCTTCGATGGGAGGCTGGAGGGGATGGGAGCAGAAGGTCAGCCAGGAGGCTGTGCCAAGAATTTGGGGAGATTCGATGAGGAGGAGAAAGGATGGAGGGGAGCCTATGATCCAGGCATTCAAAGGTGCGGGGAGGGAACCTGTACTTGCTGGAGCACTCACCATAAACGAGACGATGCTCATTGCTTTACAGGCCTGGTCTCACTGCATCAGGGTGACACCCCCCTCCGACCCCCTGCCCTCCCCAGGTCCCTGTGACAGGCAGATGCTTAGGGAGATAAGTTCTTGACCCAGGTACACAGCTAAGAAGCAGGGACCTGGGATCCCACCAGGTCTGCTCAGTCCAGCCTGGCCCCTTCCCCTCTGCCCCTCCTCAGCGGAGCTGCCTTCTGTTCACACAGGAGCCTGGGAGAGCCGCGGCGACATTTTGAGCATGGAGACGGGTAGAGAAATGGTGTTGGGGACAGAACCGGGGGCCAGCGATACCTGCACCCAATAGCCGAGACCGGGGCCCAGGAGCGACTGTTTGGGAAGGAGAGTGCACGGCCATCAGAGGGGCTGCCTCTCCGGCTCGAGGAAAGCGAGGCAGAGTAGGGCAGTGGTTAGGGGAGCTTTGTGTCCAGGTTGGACATCACCAGCTGTGTGACCTTGGCTTCTGGACCCACCTGCCTCCAATACAAAATGGAGACAAAACAGACCTTTCCCTAGGGTGACTGTGTGGCCAAAATGGCGTGGTACTCTTAAGGTACGTGGCACAGTGTCCAACCACATTCAGGGACGCGGTACTCCGTGGTTATGAGTATTTGCTACTACCAGCTCCCCAGGGCCCACCCTATGTCCCCGTCAAATGGAGTAGACACCCGGGATGCCCCTGCTTGCATCTTGTGCCCCCGGGAATAAGGGAATAGATCTATACAGAGCATCTCTGGTTCTCCCAAAGCCATAACATGGGAGTAGCCCTCTGGTCTGGGAGAAGCTGGACTGGGCCAGGCAGGATCAACCCTTGGAAGCGTCTCCTGGTATCCATGGCATCCATGCCTTACTGGCAGGCTTCGGGATGAGTCTCAGACAGGCCCAAGGTCGAGTCTTGGATCTGGGAGCGGACAGGGTGTCACGGGCCATGGGAACATGCCCCTCCCACTCCGGTCCTGGAATCTGGGTTCACGCCACCTGCACAAACCAGAGGAGCAGATCGACCCCCAACCCGCAAGCCGCTCTCACCATGTTCTCGTCGTGGCTCCCTTCATCCTCCTCTTTGCCAAGCAGGTCTAATAGTTTCTCTTTGATCAGCTGCAAGAAAGGCAGGGAAGGAGCGGTCAGGCTGGGGGCGTGTGCAAAGGTAGCGGGGGAGCCACAGCGGCAGCAGGTGCCTGGGCTGGCAGGAGCCCAGTCTGGCCGGAGCCTCTGCCTGAGTTTTGGGATTTTGGTGCAAGAGCTGGAGCTTGGAAGAGGTCCCAGGAGGGCCCTGTCTCGCAGCGTGGACTGCCTTCTCTCGTGGATAGAGAGTGTGGATAAATGGCATGTGTGGCTGGTGTGGCTGTCCCATCTGTCCCCATCCATCCGCAGGATCAGCCTGGGCCCCTTTCTGAGGCTGGGCCTGGGGGACGAGATTGCTAATCACTTTTCAGGCCTGTCAACTCCACAGTTCATAGGATCAGGGCACACTTGAGTCCATCGCATTTTATTTTGAGCAGTAAAAGGTTTTCGTAACTTTGTACAGCTTCTCACAAAATTAATAAACAAAGCAGAATAAAATCTGGCCATGGGAGGTGGTTGGGCTTGGGGAACGAGGTTACCACGCTGAAAGGCAAGGTGTGGGAGTCCCGGGAACCCTGGTCACAGGGGCCCCCACAGTGGGTCCCAGTAACGATCTCCGGCATCACCGGCCTCTCCGGGAGGCGGACCCTGCTCGCCGCCCTTTGTGCTGGGCCAGGACTCGGTGGTCCTGGGGCCTGTGCGGGCCTGGGCAAGCCCGAGGGAGTCTGGGGCCCCTGGAGCCAGCTGGGTCTGGGGAGATGCGGGCAGGAAGGACCTCCAGGACCAGAGGCCATGTCGCTGTTCGAGAAGCTTTCAGATGCTTCGTCCCCGCTGCCCCTTGAGGGCGACATCTCCACAAACCGTGAGCAGCCGGAGTGGCAGGTGTGCCCCTGCCCTTCTGAAGACTGAGAGGGCTGGGAAATGCCCCTTACCTCACTCTGCCTGAGCCGCCCAGAGGGCAGGGGTGTGTGTGTGTGTGGTGTATGTGTGTGCATTAGTGAGTATCAGGTGTGAGTGTGGGGTGTGTGTGGTGTATGTGTGTGCATGGTGTGTGTGCATTAGTGAGTATCAGGTGTGAGTGTGGGGTGTGTGTGGTGTATGTGTGTGCATGGTGTGTGTGCATTAGTGAGTATCAGGTGTGAGTGTGGGGTGTGTGTGGTGTATGTGTGTGCATTAGTGAGTATTAGGTGTGAGTGTGGTGTGAGTGTGGTGTGAGCGTGTGCACGTGGAATGAATGTGTGGGTGCAGACACCCATGGATGAGCCACCACACCCAGCCCGGCTGTAGGAGGGGTGCAGAGCTGGCCTCAGCCCAGTCTCATCTCCTTCCCCTCCTCCTGCTGGTGTAGACAGCACGGCTTTTCCCTCCGGAGGACTGTGGCTTACCTCCCTACATCCCTCCCTCCCCCGTGCCAGGACGGTGACAGCCAATATCCATGGACAGGGAGGAGAGAGGCCGTCCTCCCCCACACTGCGGTTCTGGACACTGGGGCACCTGCCTGTGGTCACTTCCCCACGAGTAATCCCAAACCTTACCTCATAAATATAATCAAAGAGCTCTAGTATTGTGAGGATACTAGCACCAATAAACAATCCCATCTGGCCACCAATATCACCTGGAGAGAGAGAGAAAAGACGCAAGGTTTGGCTTTACTACGACACTCCCAGGAAGGGGTGAACAGACTCAGAACTCGGAAGCCAGGCCTTCTGAGGGGTCCCCCTCCTGGGGAGCCTGGGCTGGGACTAGAAGGCCAGGCCTTTGACGAGCCCCTCCCTCGAGCGCAGCTCTGAGAGTGATGGCTGGCAGCGCCCGGTGAAGACGAGAACGAACCTGGATGCTTATTGGAGGGCACTGGAACAGACCTCATAGGTCAACAGGCTTGCCAGTTACATTAGAAACCACACTGATTGGGCCTTGCTTTGGCTCTGGGCTGGGAATAGATAAAACATGTGTGGTCCTTGCCCTGGGCAAGGGCACAGTCTTGCCTGAGACATGCATCAGGTGCCCTGGGTGGGGGTCCCCAGAGCAGTGTCACAAGAGGTCTCCTCCTACCTTCAATCATGACATGGCCTTCAGGGCCACCTTGGGGCACCTCTCACCCTTGGGATCAGGCCATTGGAAGCCCCTTTGATCTCCCTATTCCAAAGCTAAATGTTCAGTTGGGTCTCTATCTAGACGAGAGGTATGTACCCTGGAGTGGATGGGGCCCCTTGACCGCAGTTATTCTAGACTGGTCTTCAGATGCCCGGACCTACCCTGAGCTACAGAAACAGATCTGGGGTTGGGGTCTGGAAATCGGGATTCGTACGTTCCCCAGGTGGTATGCATGGCCCACCAGGGTCTGGAAACCACTCTCCTGTGGGGGCTTCAGATAGCAGGAGACCTCCTGCAATTGAATGAAAACACCGTGTGTGTGCACCGGGGCATTCGTGGGGGAAGAGTTCACATCTAGGAAGCTACTAGCTGATTCTCCAAGGGGCTGTGATCCCCTCAACGCCCGAGGTGCTTTGCCTCACTGCTCCGGGGCTCCGAGCTCCGAGTGGTCAGCAGCTTGCTGTGTGGCCTTGATGAGCCCTGGCCCTCTCAGTAGCTTTGCCTCGAAGGACCCTTGGTGGTGGAGGTTGGGAGGGGGTTTGGAGGAGCTGAACTGTGAAGTCCTTTCCAGCTTAGTCTCTAAGACTGGGCTGGGGACAGTGCTAGGCACAGGGGTGCTGTTGGGGGTGGGCATACAGTCCTCCTGGAGAATCCGGGCTGACCTCTTGGTCTGAGAACTTCTGGTGAGCACATCTGCCCACTCCTACCCTGACTGTGACTGGGAGGAACCCGGAACCACATCCGGAACAAGCCCAGGCCGTGGGGAGGGAGTTCTTCCTGGTGGGATGTGGTGCTGAGCTCCAAAAGGCTCTCCAATCCTGGCCGGGGTGCCCGGTGGTTAGAGCGTCAGCCCGTGGACTGAAGGGTCACAGGTTCAGTTCCCGGTCAAGGGCATGTACCTGCGTTACAGGTTTGATTCCGGCACCAGTCGGGGCACGTGCAAGAGGTAACTGATCCGTGTGTCTCTCCCTCCCTCCCTCCCTCCCTTCCACCCTCTTTAAAAAAAATCAACAATATCTTCAGGTGAGGATTAACAAAGGAAAAAAAGTTTCCCTTTGTTCTTCTCCTCTCTCGTCGCTCACTCTAATGTCCTTAGTGGAGGTGTGTCGGGGAGTGTGCATTTATGTATATGCACGTCAGGTGTGTTTGTATGTGCATGGAGTATGGCTGAGTGTGGGGTATGTGCCAGGATGCTGTGTGCACGCATGTGTTTGTATAGACATAGGCAATATCGCTGGAAGTAAATGAATTTATGTTGGTGGCTATCTATGTCTAGAGTAGGCACACAGCGTATGTCCAAGTGTGTGTCAGTGTGGTTTTGTGAGGTGGGCACAGTGTGTCTGAGTGTGTGGAGCATGAGTGAGCATGTGCAGGTATGAGTGTGTTTCTGTTCATGGGCAGTTGTACGTAATAGAGTGTGAAGGCAGGCATGCAGTGTGTGTGCAAGTGCGAGTGTGTTTATGTGCATGGCAGTCGTACGCAATGGGCACATGAGGGCAGGCATGGAGTGTGCGCAGGTGTGAGTGTGTTTGTGTGCATGGCAGTCGTACGCAATGGGCACATGAGGGCAGGCATGGAGTGTGCGCAGGTGTGAGTGTGTTTGTGTGCATGGCAGTCGTACGCAATGAGCACATGAGGGCAGGCATGGAGTGTGTGCACAGGTGTGAGTGTGTTTGTGTGCATGGCAGTCGTACGCAATGAGCACATGAGGGCAGGCATGTAGTGTGTGTGCAGGTGTGAGTGTGTTTGTGTGCATGGCAGTCGTACGCAATGAGCACATGAGGGCAGGCATGCAGTGTGTGCGCAGGTGTGAGTGTGTTTGTGTGCATGGCAGTTGTACGCAATGAGCATGTGAGGGCAGGCATGCAGTACATGTGCAGGCATGTCTGTGCAGGTGCACACTTGTGTGTGTGGCTCCCCATGATGGTGTGTGGCTGCTGGGGTGCAGTGGGCATTAGGTGGGGATACGGTGTGGCAGCAAGAGCAGAGCCTGACCGGGCCTGGCAGCTGAGGTTCCACGCGGCACAGTCTCATCACGAAGCTACAGATGGCAGCATGCTTTTCTCAGCCAGCGGTCCTGGGTGGAAGTGATGCTGGGACCGTCATCCTCATATCTGATGTGGAGACGAGCTGCCCCTCCTGACAGATTCGGAGCTCAGGCCCTCCCGCTGTGTGTGAGTGTGTGTGTGTGTGTGTGTGTGTGTACACGTGTGTGATTGTGAGCTTATGTAGGGGCTCGGGGAGCGGAGGGAGGAGGCATGTCCCGAATTCTCTTTAGGAAATGAGGGTGGCAAGGGAGGGTGAGGGGGCGTACATCTCCGGTGCCTGATCACTACCTCGGGCCCAGGGCACAAGTCTCTAGGCTCAGCTCCTTTGGCCACAAGGGCCTTGGAGCCCCAGCGACAGCCATCTTCACCCAGCGGGGGCCCAGCCCCAGCCTCCTGGGAGAGGTGCAGAGAGGCCGATGCACCTGGAAGCATCGCCTGGGTTCCTGTCTCTGGCATGAAGACGGTCCAAGTACCAGAGATGACTATTAATGGACCTTCTGTGGGCTGGGGCTTTGCCACATTTAACCATCACAACCAACACATAAAGTGGGTTTTATTAGACCCATTTTACACACGAGGGACCCGAGGGCCGGTGAGGAGAAGCCGCTTGCCTACATTCTCACAGTTGGTCTTTCCTTTCTCCCTGCGGGCAGAAGGTGTCTGACCCCCCCCCCCCCCCCCCGTCACTTTCACTGGGTTCAGTTCCCAGAGGCGACAACAGCTATTTTTCTATGAAGGTTCTTTCTTGCGAGTGAGTGGGCGTTGGCGGAGGGCCCCAGGGGCAGGTCTTCTCACCAGCCGCCCTCAGGGGCTGGGCTGGGGCAGGGTTGAAAGGAGCTCCCTGCCTCACCATGTGCCTAGGGGGCCCGGGGAGCTGACGTGAGCTTGTGCGGTCAGGTCTGCAGATATCTGGGGACAGGTGGCCTTTCTTTTGTGTGTGACAAAGGACTCAGTCCGGGGGGGCCACCTGCTTCTCAATGCAGTGATGACGTTTTCTGGGTGGGGGCTGCCCTGGGTGCCTCACTGTGTCCACTGCCCGGGACCACCCACACGCGGCTCCACTGCCCTGCACCGGAGGGGCGCTCTTTCGTCCGGCCCCAAGACTCTGACTCCAACCTGGGGGCAGAAGACCACGGAATCCAAGAGGGCAGCTCTGGGAAGGCCCTGAGGGACCTTTAACCCACCCCCTGATGGGGAAACCGAGGCAGAGATTGCCGCATGAACCGGCTTAACCCTGCCCCATGCTGCAGCTCTCCCTGTCCTGGGCCAGCCGCGGGGCGGGGGTGGAGGGAACAGCAGTGAGCGCGGGGGACTGTCAGGAGCCAGGATCCACCTGCCTGCTGCCGCCCCCCCTGCCGTCCCCCTCCCCCTCCCCTCCTATAAGATGTGGGAATGTGTGCAGTAGACGCTCGACTTACCAAGTAAGGCAGCAACTTCATACGCCTTCTTTTGTTCTATTGTCTCGTAATTGAGAGCTTCAAAAAATATATCCAGAACCAGGATGTTCTCTCTGCAGAGGGAACATTCAGTACCAGACATGGGCAGAACTGCCAGGACCCACGGGGATCCTCCAACACAGCTTCCCCTTGGACAGGTGGAGGAACAGGCCCCACGTTCCAGCTGGTTAGTGGCAGAGCTGGGCCTGGGATCAGGAGTCCTGGGCCCCACCCAGTGCCCTTCACAGGACTGGAGGCCTGTGTCAGCTGTCCCCCTGTGCCCCTTCACGGGACTGGAGGCCTGTGTCAGCTGTCCCCCTGTGCCCCTTCCTTCTCACCCCCCACTCTTGGCTGGCTTTCCAGGAGTCCTGCCTGGCCTCCAGGTTCTTAGGCCCCTAAAGGGTCTGCCTGGGTCCCTACCTGCAGGTGAGCTCAGGACTCTCTCGATGAGGCTTGCCTGCCCCGCTGACCTCCCTGTCCACTCCCGAGAGCCCCCGGAGTCCCTGCAGGGACTTACGAGCTTCTCCTAGGGGGAGGCCCTCCCTGGCGTGGCCAAATCAGCTGCCAGAGCCCAAGTGGCTCTTTAGGGCTTAAACCTCTCTCTGGCTGGGGGTTTTCTGGCAGAAGCATCCTGGTTCCCTTCTGTTCCTTTAGGCAGATGTGTTAATGAGACACCTCTTGGCAGGAGGAGCCCTTACTGCCTGCAGGCTGTCTGCTCAGCAGCACCTCCTCCAACTCCCATCTCGGTCCCTGTTACTCTCAAGGCCCTCAGCGCCCTGCCCCCCACCCACCGGGCAGCAGCCCTCAGGTTTGTCGATCTGGCCCCAGGACGGGTGCGGCCACTCTGTTGGCAGGACAGAGTGGCTGGGGAGAGGAGCAAGCCACCTCTCTCCACGCAGGGCTCTCGGGCACCCAAGTGTCACCATCTCTTGCCTGGTTTATGGCAACTACCTCCTAACAGGCTCCCTCCTGCCCATTTGGCTTCCCATCCATCCTCTAAACTGCTGCCCAAAGGATCTTTCTAAAACTGCTAAACTCATTCCAACAAAATAAAATTACAATTCAGTTCCTGAGTCACTCCAGCGATGGTGAAAGTGCTTAATAGCCACACGTGGTTACCAGGTCAAGAACCTGTCATCGCAGAACGGTTCTATTGAGCAGCAGGGGTCTAAAGCAAATTTGAGCCCATCACTCAACTAGGTAAGGCTCTTCAGTGGCTCCCTGTTCTCTTAGGATAAAGCCCGCTCCCTGCCCAGCCCCCATCTCCTCCTCACACCCTGCTCAGCCTACAGGGCACTGCTGCCCAGTCTCGGCCACCGGCCCAGCTCCCCCTTGAAGTTCTTTGTGTCCTGTGCTGAACCCCTCTGCGAAACTCTGCCTGGGCACCCTCTTCTCCTGTGTCTTTCATTCATTTATTCGGTTAAAAGACTTTTTTTTTTTTTTTGAGCACCAACCTTGTGCCAGACACTCCACAGCAAAGAACCCAAAGAAAAGTTTCTGCCCTCGGGGAGCTTTCAATTTCATGAGGCAGGCAGGTAATCAAAAAGAAACACACACATGAATATAGAATTACACAGGGTGAGAGTGTTATAAGGAAAAACACAAATGCTTCAAGAAGAAAATAATAAGCAGGAGTAGGAGGGGGCCTCATTGAGCTGTCTGAGGACATGAGATTTACATGAGGAATTGCACAATGAGGTACCAGTCAGGTGAAGAGTGAGAGGAAGAGCATTGTTGGAAGAGGGAACAGAATGTGCAAAGCCTGCCTGGGAAACTCCTATGCATCATTTAAATAAAGCTCTGAAGCTTTCCTTGACCGCATCCCATGCAAGGTACAGTCCACATGTCCCTGTATCCCTATCACCTGTATCAACCTTTGTCGCATTCAGCGGTCTACCTGTAACCCCACTTGACTATAAGCTCCTTAAAGGCAGGGACTACATCTTCATCATCTGTCTTCATATTCTGAGTGCCAAGCATAGAGCTTGCCACATAGTAGGTGCTCAACTAATGCCTGCTCAATGGAACCAACTGCTACCTTTGCCTTCTTCTCGGTTTGCCCCCAATTTCTTCCTGGTCCATAGCCCCCCCCCCTCAACTCCACAATATGCCCCCTGAGCTTACGAGATATATTTTTCTGATTTGTTAAATTTCTTCTCAAGGTACTTGGCTGATGTCTTGCTGGGGATCTTCACCATGGAGAGCTCTTTGTTGTAGCGAGTCAGGTTGCAGGGTGTCCTGCAGAGACAGTAATTACTGTCCTTTTCTGCCAGCAGACCTGGAGGGGAGAGGGAGGCGGGGCTTGGTCAGGTGTGGCCAGAGGTCTCAGTGCAGTCTGTCCAGCAGCAGAGCAGTGGGCTGAGAAGAGCTGCCCTCCTGGGTAAGTGAGGGGTAGGGGGCTGCAGAGAGAAGGGAAGCTGGGCTTTTGCTCCAGGTTGAGGGTACGCTTATAAAAGAGCGCCCAGTCTTCCTAGGTTACTCTTGGTCCTATTTTCCTTCTGCTTCTTTTACTGTTATGTTGCCCTTTAAAAACTGTTGAAAAGGCACCACTGTTGGAGAACAGGCTCCAAGGGAGTCCTGGCCCCTTCAACTTCCCAGGGCCTTCTTCTCTGCTCCTAGCCTCAGTGTTCTCATCCACAAAGTGGGCCGCCCACAAAGCAAATGGGAGGCCCTTGCACCTGGATCCCAGGGCTCTGTGGGGTTCCCTCTGGGGCTCCCTCCTGTGCCCGCTGGGTCAGGACACAGGCGAAGATTCGCCATTCCTGTCCCCAGAGGCAAACTCCCTGCCTCCGGGTCTCTCTCTCCTCTCTTCTGCCATTTGGGACCCGGTGGATGAAGACATCATCATCTTCTTCCTCTCCCTCTTTCCTTTAACCCTTGGGTTTTGTTGATTCTTCTCTCCAAGGAGAGACTGTCTTTGCACACAGGGGAGTCACTTCCTCTCGGCCAGGCCGCCCTCCACCAGTCCTGGGAGCCTCTGGAAGCGAGAGTCCCGAGCTGCCGGCTCTGAGCTCCAGCAGGTGCAGCGGCGCACGGACTTGAGTCCACCTGACTTAAGAGCGCTCCCTGCCGGCCTGGTCTGCTTCCCAGATCTGCAGAGAGGCAGGGCGGAGTGGGCTGAGCCCTGGGGTTGTGGCTTGTTGGTCAGATCTCTCTCGCCTTCAGTGTTCCACCTGGGGGTGTGGGGAAGGGGTGGAGTAGGAGGAGGGGGTGCTTGCCTCCTCCCATGTGCACACACGGAACACACACGTGTGGGGCCTCACCTCTTTCTTTCCCGCCTTCCTGGGCTCAGTGCTTTGGGGTAACCTTGGTGGCCTCCCTATGTGAACCACCCGCGTGTGTGGGGAAATGCTGTCAAGCTCTTCTGTGAGCCCCGATACCTGTGGTGCATCCTCCTTCATCGCTGCCCCTCCTCTCCATCCCTCAGTGCCCTCCCCACCCCAAATCCACTCCTCTCTCTTTATCCCTCTGCCCCCTTTCTCTCCTCAGTGCCCTTTCCAGCCCTTATCCGCCCGCATCAACCCCGCCCCCACTACCCCCACCCCTCCTGCAGCCATGCCACTCTGCCCAGCCCCCCCAGCAGCCATGCCACTCTGTCCAGACCCCTCCTGCAGCCATGCCACTCTGTCCAGCCCCCCTGCAGCCATGCCCCTCTGTCCAGTCCCCCCCTGCAGCCATGCCCCTCTGTCCAGCCCCCCTGCAGCCATGCCCCTCTGTCCAGTCCCACCCTGCAGCCATGCCCCTCTGTCCAGCCCCCCTGCAGCCATGCCCCTCTGTCCAGTCCCCCCCTGCAGCCATGCCCCTCTGTCCAGCTCCCCTGCAGCCATGCCACTCTGTCCAGCCCCCCCTGCAGCCATGCCACTCTGTCCAGCCCCCCCTGCAGCCATGCCACTCTGTCCAGCCCCCCTGCAGCCATGCCACTCTGTCCAGCCCCCCCTGCAGCCATGCCACTCTGTCCAGCCCCCCCCGCAGCCATGCCACTCTCTCCCGCCCCCCTGCAGCCATGCCACTCTGTCCAGCCCCCCTGCAGACATGCCACTCTGTCCAGCCCCCCCTGCAGCCATGCCCCTCTGTCCAGCCCCCCTGCAGCCATGCCACTCTGTCCAGCCCCCCTGCAGCCATGCCACTCTGTCCAGCCCCCCTGCAGCCATGCCACTCTGTCCTGCCCCCCCTGCAGACATTCCACTCTGTCCTGCCTCCCCCCCTTCTTAGTTCCCCCTCCCACTCAGTCTCTCTCCCACACCCAGGAGGTCTCCATCTCAGGCCTCCCCATCATTCCCGGTGTCCCCCGGTACTGACCGAGGGCAGGCTCTGCGCACTCCTTGTGCTGCTCGGGGGTACAGAAAGGGGCATCCCCTGCAAAGAAGAAACACAAGGAGAGGTACTGGGGCAGCAACACCTCCCCTCCTGGGGCTGGGCTAGGGAAGGGAGCACCTCCCGGTAGGCAGGGGCAACTGTCTGCCAGTGGACGGTCAGAAGGGAGCCCTTGACCAGGGCAGCCTGGGGGCACTGGGGGAGCAGTGTACCCCGAGCCAGAAGATTGGGTTCTCATCTTCTCTGCGACCTGGGGCAGGCGACACCGGGACCTTCCCCGATAGCTGCACTGGGAATGGGTGAGAAAACCTTGAGGGCTGATTGGGGGGCAGTGAGCACCTACTAAGTCCTAGGTGTGGGTCACCTCCTTAACTCCCACAGGTACCCTCTGAGATAGAAAACACTGCATCCTGCCTTCCCAGGACGCGAGGGTGGCAGTGAGGGGCGTGGGCTTTGAACCCAGGTCAGCCTGACCTGCGCTGGGGCCCTTTGCACTATACCCCGGTGCCGCGTGTGCGAAGAGCCGCTGGGTAAGTTTCTCTTTGCTGTGCCCGTGGTTCCACACACGCCACGGAGATGCCAGCACCAGGGTCAGGGGTGGAATGACGGAAATGCCCACTGCTTGCTTCTAGCTCAGGTTCCAGGAGGAAACCTCGCGGCTGGTGACCCAGTCCGAGCAGCGGGCGGGTCACATGAACTATCACTCGGTCGCCCTTTCTTGCACATCTCTGTAGCCGTCCAGGACCAACCGCTTTCTGTCTTACCGCTGCAATGTCTTTTCCTTGCCACTTCTCCCAACACCTGTCCCAGGAGCTGAGGGCTGTCATGCTTCCTCCTCTCCAATAATAATAATTTAATTGATATGTTTTCCTTTCTGCTCTGCCTTCTGGGCAGCTCAGTGGCAGTTTTATTTTATTTATTTATTTCTAAAAATTGCATTCATTGATTTTGAGGGAGGGAGAGAGAGACACACACACAGAGAGAAAGATATTTGTTGTTCCACTTATTCGTGTTCATTGGTTGACCGAGGATGGAACCCGCAACTTTGGGAAAAAGCTCTAATCAACCAATCTACCCGGCCAGGGTCTCAGAGGCAGTTTTAAAGATCAATACTTCTAATCTTAGATTACTAAATAAATGACTGACTGATTAATAATAAAAATAATTCAGAATTTAGCTGTGAGGATGTTCATTTCAGCATTGGTTATATCAGAAAATAATTGGTAATGAATTAAATGTCCGATATGAAGATTTGGTTAAATATTCTTAAGTAAAGCACACTATAAATATGAAATAGTAGCTGTTAAATAGGAGAGCAAACTTCCTGGCACATAGTAGGTCTTCAGGCAATAGGACTTTCGCTTCCTATTCCCTTCTGCCAACACAACAACCACTGACTTCTGCAATTTAAAGAGCATTTTTATGTCTTAGCTTAATGTTATCCTCATAACAACTAATGCTTTTTGTTTTAAAGATAATAAAGTTGAGAACAGAGAGCTTTAGGAACTTGGGCCAGTACACACAGCAGGTGAGTGGAGGAACTGAGTTAGAAGCCAAGGCCCCTGCATCCAGCCCCAATCATCCTTCCATGATGCAACGAACCCTTCCTGCCCTAATCAGCCCCCACCCCCTCTGCAAGTCTGCCTCTGACATGCCAGCTGCCTCTGATGAGATGGCCACCTGCACCGTGAGTCTGACGACAGGATGTCTGCACACGCACGTTTACCTGCTGCCTGATGGACTTTGGCCTTGTTGAAAGAGTGCTGGATATTTGGATGCAAGAAGGGAACCATCTGGATGAAAGCAACAAACATCTGGATGTGTGAACATGGACCACTCCAGGATGCAACAATTGCAAGCATCCAGATATCTGGACACAGCAAACAGCTAGCAAACAAATTGAACACAGGGAGGCGTGTTCTCCAAACATCTGGATGATTCTGGACACCAGGGTGCTGCCTTGGTTGCCAGAGTGGATGTTTCTATCTGCTCTCTAAATGTCTGGGCACCAAAGAACAAGTCTTTGGATGCTCGTGGAGTGGGCAAAGCGTTTCCTGTTAGGGTGAGAAATACAAAGCAGGTCCCAGGCCGTCCTGGCAGGCACTGACCTGGCATGTGGACCATGCGGCAGTTGCAATTCTCCACGATGTAGCGGGTCTCACAGTCGATCCTACAGGCGGTGATACTGTAAACAGGAAAGAAGTCGAGTCCCATCTCTGAGGATCGGCACTCGCCCCACGGCGGGGGCAGGTAGGTGAGCTGCAAGACATGAAGAAGGGGGCAGCAGTCAGCCCTAGAGTTCAGCCTCGACGGACTCAGTGTCTCATTCATTCACTTATTCAATCAACAAACACTTATTGAGCATCTACAACATGACAATCTAAAGTCCGTTGACCTCACACACCTCCTACATCTGCCTCTCACACTGGTTTTCCTATCTTGTCCCTTGTAACCTTCCCAGAAATGCGGATCTCCACGTGTCTCTCCATTTCCACACTTTGCCATCTCCCATCTTGGAAGGACCCAGTTAAATTCTACCCTCTTGACTTGGGACCTGAGACCTAGACTGGAGGCTAAAACCTGGAGGAGGGTTTGGGATGAAATGGCCTTGGGCATAAATAGCGTTATGATCCTTGGCCCTGACAGGAGCAGCTGTCCAGTGTCTGCTGTGGACAAATTCCTTTGGGGAACATGTCACTTATGTGAGGTCTAATGACCATAAAATGTCCTAACACCTATGGTACTTGCTTGCTGGGGATGAACAGGGTAGAGGATGAGGGAACTAATGGTTGTTGAACACCTACTGTGTCTTAAACCCTAAGCCAAGTCCTTTACTCATTTTTAAAAGAATTTAAGAACAAAAATACAATAAAATGTACACATTTTCAGTGCCTAGTTCAACAAATTCTGAAAAAATGTATACACCTATGTAACTACCATTTTAATCAATAATAAGACACTTTTGCTCTCGCCAGGTAGCTTAGTTGGTTAGAGCATCATCCTGACATGCCAAGGTTGCAGGTTCGATCTCCAGTCAGGGCACATATAGGAATCAAACAATTAATGCATCAGTAAGTGGAACAACAGATCAACGTTTCTCTCTCTCTCTTTTCTTCTTTCTCTCTCTAAAATCAATAAATTAAAAAAATATATAGGATGTTTTTAATCAGCCAAGAAAGTTCCTTTCCACCCCTTTCCAATCGGCCACCCACCTGGCCAGGCAATCGCTGTTAGCGATTCTATCACCACAGGCTGGCTTGGCCTGTTCTCAAATTTCAGGTAGAGGAAGACCTACGCTGTGTGCTCTCTTGGGTCTGGCTCCTTTAGCTCAACAAAATGTCTGTTACACAAAGTAAACTTCAAGACAAAAACATTGCAGGAGACAGAGAGGGCTATTTCACAATGACAACAGGATCAAGCCATCCAGAGGATATAATCATTCTAAATGGGTACTGCCCAAAGATAAGTTTCAAAAATACACGAAGCAAAAATGGACAGAACTAAAGGGAGAAATAGACACAGCCACAGTTAGAGATTTCAAAATTGTTCTCTCAGTAATTGATGAATAAGTAGACAAAAAGTCAGCAGCAATATAGAAGATTTGAGCAACATTATCCATCAGCTTGACCCCATTGCATTTTTTTTTTTTTTTTTATCCTCACCCGAGGACACTCTTTGATATTTTGTTCAGATAGAGTGGGAGGGATAGAGAGAGAGAGAAACATCGACGTGAAGGGACACATCGAGTGGCTGCCACTCGCACGACCCAACCAGGGTCGGGGACAAACTGCAACCAAGGTACGCGCCCTTAGCGGGAACCGAACCCGGGTCTTTCAGGACCGCAGGCCGACGCTCTAACCGCTGAGCCAAACCGGCCAGGGCCCCATTGCATTTTTGAAAGCACTATACACACAATTACAGGGCATGCACTTTTTTTTAGGTGGATGCCAAACATTCCCCATGACACACCAGATGTTGGCCCATAAAACAGATCTCAATGAAAACAAAACAAAACACAAAACCGTAGGCAGTATGATTGCTGACCAAAACATAACTAAATTAGAAATCAATAACAATGAGTAAAAAGATAGCACAAGTTATCAATATCAGGAATGAAAGAGAGGATATCACTACCGATCCTACAGACAGACATTAAGAAATGCTAAGAAACTATTACATACAACTTTATGTTAATATATTTAAAAAGTTAGATGAAATGGACAACTTCCTTGGAAAACACATATAACTTAACAAAACTTGTACAGGAAGAAAATAGAAAAGCATAAATCTTATGCTTATTGTTTATCTTTCACCATTCTTGTTTTTGTCCATCCTTTTATTTTTCTGTAAATTTTTTTCAATTTTTATTAATTTATTATTGTTACAGATGTTTCTCCTTTTTTCCCGCTAGACACCCTCCTCCCTATCCCAGCCCCACTACATCCCCAGCATTGTTGTCTACGTCTGTTGGTTACGCACACATGCAGATAAGTTTTTTGGTTTATCTCACGTCCTTTTACTTTTAAACTGTCAGAATATTTATATATGTAAGCGGCTCTCTTGTAAACAACCCATTTGAGTGTTGCTCTTTCATCCTATCTGACAATACTGGAGGGTTTAATCCACTTACATTTAACGTAATTCTTGATACTGTTGTTGAAGCCCAGTATCTTGGGCTGTTTCCTATTTGTCCCCACTGTTATTTCTTCCTTTGTTATCTCTTTCCTGACTTCTTTTGGGTTGAGTATTGTTTTAATAGTTCATTCCATCTTTTCTACTGGCTTTTGATTTATACCATGTATTATTATTATTTTTAGTTGTCATTGTAGGATTTACAATATGCATCCTTAATGGATCGCGACCTACCTTGAATTAATTAATATTGCACCACTTTGCATATAATACTAATTCTATCCCTTCCTCTTTATCATTCTTTTGTGTATTGAATTTCCATTTGATATCAGTTCCCTTCAGGCAGAAGGACGATCTTGACTATTTTTTTGTAGTGTAGACGTATATTTTACTCATGGTTTTCTTGTGGCAAACTTTCTCGGTTTTCACTTACCTATAAAATGCCTGAGTTTTGTCTTTATTTTGAAACATATTTGGACTCTATATAGAATTCCAGGTTAAGTGTTTTCTTTCAGTATTTCAAAATGTTCTATTGTCTTCTGGCTTCCATTGTTTCTGATGAGAAATCAGCCGTATTCTTTTCACTGTGCCTTACTATGTATTATGCCTTTTTTCCCTGACTGCTTTGAAAATTTTCTTTTTCCTTTGGTTTTCAGAATTTTAATTATGCCACACCTACATATGGTTTAATTTGCATTTATCCCATCTGGGGATTGCTGAGGTACTTGTATCTGTGAAATGATACTTTTGAACACATTTGGAAAAAATGTAACCAATATTTCTTCACTTATCTTTCTTCCCTATTTTCTCTCTTTCTTCTTTCCTTTTGGGATTACACACATGTTGCACTGCTGGATATACTGTTCTACAAGTCATCAGGACTCTGTTCAATTGCATCAGTCTTTTTTTGCTTTTTGTATGTCATTTGAGTAATTTCTATTAACTTGTCTTCAAGTCTGGTGTTCATTTATTGTTTTCTATCTAATCTTCTGGTAATCCCATCCAGCAGTTTTTAAAATTTTAGGTCGCTGTCTTTTTCAGTTCCAGGTTGACTTTTTAAAAAGTTTCCATATCTTGCCCCCCCATCTCTCATTATTTACACTCTTTCTGCAATTATTTAACATGTTTATTGTTGTTATTTTAAAGTTGTTTTCTAAATTCCAACGTGGGTTATATGTGTATCTGATCCTACTAATTGTTTTTCTTTTCATCTTTCCCCTCTTTCTTCATGTGTACAGTAGGTTTTGATTGTATAGTTATTTTTTTATTTATTTATTTTTTTTGGTGGTATGTACCCCTAGCGGGAACCAAACCCGGGACTCTCTGGTCTGCAGGCCAATGCTCAACTGCTGAGCCAAACTGGCCAGGGCTGGATAGTTATCTTTTATTGTGTGCTGAAACTTGTGGATAACAGTAGTGACTGCAGATGGGTTATCTGTGACTCACTCTGATTTTGTGAAGGTGCTGTTTAGGCTTTGTATAAGAATGGTACAGTATTTTCATTTTCCCCTTAGTTGTGGGCTATAGGCCTTAGTCTTCCAATGTGATCTTAACTCCTATGGAATGAGACTTTTGGGATTTCAGTGGAAAGCCTGAGGTGTTTATCAAGTGTAATTTGGTGGGACTTGAATTACAAAGTCTGTCTCCCCTCTACTGGCTGCTGCAATTTCTTCCCAGCTCTTTGCATGGTTGTTCCGAGCTTCTTGGAGTGTCACCCCTATCCAAATGAAGTTCAAGGTTCAGTCTATGATTTCAGGGAAACTGATATAAAAATGTTGGCATCCCTTAGAGCTGGCGGTGCCCTCCAGGGAGAGGTCAGACAAATACGCGTGTATTTCACCCAGGGCAGGTCCCTGTCTTCAAGGACGGTATGCCCCCAGTTTCTGCCTGCTTCAGTCTCATTAAAGAGTAGCTTTAAAATAGTTTGCCCAGAGTTTATAATTCCTATTTCCAGGAGATTTAGTCTGATATAAGCTATTCCACCATTCCTGAGACCTCAAAGTCTCCATACTTATGTTTTTTTTTTTTTTTTGTTATCCTCACCTGAGGACATTTTTCCATTTTTTGTTCAGGTAGAGTGAAAGGGAGAGAGAGTAAGAGAGAGAGAAACATCAACGTGACAGGAACACATCGAGTGGCTGCCACCTGCACGACCCAACCAGGGCTGGGGACAAACTGCAACCGAGGTACGTGCCCTTAGCGGGAACTGAAACTGGGTCTTTCTGGACTGCAGGCCAACACCCTAACCGCTGAGCCAAATTGGCCAGGGCTCCATACTTGTTTTATTTAACATTCATAGGACTCCTTTGAGGGAGATACTCCTATTCTCATTTTATGAATGAGGAACCTGAGTATGAGAGAGAGAGAGGTTAAGTAGTCTGTTCAAGATCACACCTTGTCAGTGACAGAGCCAGCACATGGTCCTGGGAATTTCTGACTCCAACTTTGTACCTGTCACATGACACTACATCACCTCTACAGGAAGTTGGTGGAAGACAGGGAGAAACACACCAGGGAGGACTTCTCAAAGCTTTCCTCCTTCACTTTTATCTAATGGCTCATTTCTTCTTACTTTCTCACATTCGTTTGCTTTACTCTCTCATCTTTCTTTGGAGTTCATAAGTTGA